GCGCCCATCCTCTGCGGGAAGAATTCCTTCCTGATGTCCCATTTCCATCTCCCTCTTCCCGTTTAAACCTGTCACCCCTTGTCCTGCCCCGCTCCATGATCTCCTGGGACAGATTCCAGGAGAAGCCGTGTTCCTCAGAGCGCCGCTGGGCTCGTCACCCTTGGGAGCGCAGGGAGATAACCGGGCGGTTCATTCCAGGGAAGCTGCAGAGCCTGGCTGAGAAGGAGGTCAAGGGGGCTGTGTATTCCATGGTGGAATTCAACGGGAAGCTGTTAGCCAGCATCAACAGCACGGTAGGGCTCTCGCAACACCCTGACTTCCTTTGGGGAACGCGTTTCCGAGTTGGAAGCTGCTCCAAGCGTACGGGTATCGCCACACTCCCCGATTTCTGTTGGGGAGTTGGATATTCCGTTGGATATCGCCGTCTCCAAGCCGCAATCCCTTCCTTCAGGTCCGCCTGTACGAGTGGACGGCGGAGAAGGAGCTGCGCACGGAGTGCAACCACTACAACAACATCATGGCGCTCTACCTGAAAACCAAGGGAGACTTCATCCTGGTGGGAGATCTCATGCGCTCCGTCCTCCTCCTCGCCTACAAGCCCATGGAAGGGAACTTCGAGGAGGTAGGGCCGCTCTGAGCTGCCGTCGGAAGCTCCCGGGAGCCTCTTCCACTGGGATCCGGGCGGGAAGAATGGGGGTGAAAGATGGGGCCGGGCTCGCCCCAGCTCGCGTTGTGCGAGGAGAGCGGCGTCACCCGGCCACGCTTTTCCGGCTGATCCCTGTGGTGTGGGAAGGGATGGATCCCCTGGGCTCCAGGGAAATGGGGCAGGGAATGAGCGGCCTTGAGAAGAGCAGGATTTTGGGTGGGGAGCCAAAATCCCGGCGACGCGGTTGGGGCGGTTTAGCGCGGCTGTAGCTGCAGCTCTGTCAGGAAACGCAGCGCTGACACGGTCCCTTGGAGCGGATCCGGGCATGGATTTGGCACGGACTGGTCTGTGTTGTCCAGGGAACGCCCAGGCGTTCTCCATCTGCCCGTCCTGCCCGTCTGAGCACGACGGCACCGGCTGGATCCCTCCTGCTCCTGAGCCACGATGCTGGATGGCCGGACGGGCCATCTGGGCTCATCATCCCCCTCCTCTTACCCCTTTTCCAGATCGCCCGGGACTTCAATCCCAACTGGATGAGCGCCGTGGAGATCCTGGACGACGACAATTTCTTGGGAGCGGAGAACGCTTTCAATTTGTTCGTGTGCCAGAAGGACAGGTGAGGCGGCTGCCGGGGGGAGGCGGCGACGGGGCGGTGGGTGACCTTCTACAGGCACGTGGGCCGGGCTGGAAAAGCTTGGGAGGAGCATCCCCAGCTCCCAGGAGCAGCCAAGTGGGAAAAGGGGCCACGGCGCAGCCTGAGCGCAGAGTCCTTGGGCTTTTCAGCGCCGCCACGACCGACGAGGAACGGCAGCACTTGCAGGAAGTGGGATTATCCCACCTCGGGGAGTTCGTCAACGTTTTCTGCCACGGATCCCTGGTCATGCAGAACCTGGGAGAGACCTCCACGCCCACGCAGGGCTCCGTTCTCTTCGGCACCGTCAACGGCATGATCGGTGAGGGTCCCCGGAGGGGGGTCCCAGCCGGAGCGGGAGGGTCGGGGGGTCCCTTTTCCCTGCTGTGCTCCGCTTGGACCGGGTTTTCCTCGTGTCTCTTCCACCGCCAAGCGTCACTCTGGGCTGTTCTCCCCCCAAAACCCCCCTTTTTCCTCTCTGGATTGCTTCCAGGAGGGGAAAGCGGAAAGCGCTTTGGCTTTCCAAAACTCCATCCTTGTCCCAGCGCTCCCGGCCACCGGCTCCTGGCAATCCTGGGACACCCCGGGACGAGGCCTGGACCTTCACCTCCCTCCTTCCCTGCGCAGGACTGGTGACCTCGCTGTCGGAGAGCTGGTACAACCTCCTCCTGGACATGCAGAACCGGCTGAATAAAGTCATCAAGAGCGTGGGCAAGATCGAGCATTCCTTATATCCTTCCCGGAGCGGGAGCTGAGGGCTGGCTTGGGAATTACGCTGGGAGAGGCTGGGACGCGCTGGCGGGAGCACGGATGAGGGAGCGG